CGCGGAGTCCCCCTCCCCGGGGCGCAGCCGGCCACCCCAGGGAATCCCCTCGGACCGGGGTTCGTGGGCAGGGGCCGAGTGTGGCGGGGGCGCCTCGCTCCGGGAGCCCTGGCCATTAGCCAAGAGAGCGTGGCCTCAGAACTGTGACCTGCCCGCTGGGCCATTTCCTACCTGTGCGGGGCAGGAAGGGGGGCGCCTGGAAGTGTGTGCAGGAGACCCCGCAGGAAAACCAGAGCAGTCTGGGAAGGGGTGGGGGCGCAGGCCCGGCACTGGGGACTCTGTGCTGTCTGGGCATTTTCTTTGGCTTTACTAACCTCCTACTGTCCGATTTGAGGGTTCACGTTTAGGGAGTCAGCAGAGACGTCCACGTTACAATTTCATTTGTTTTCCCCTACTGATTTTCTGTTGTTGTTTTGAGCCCCACAGTTGTCCATTGTGATGAATTTCCCCTCCATCCACGCATGGGCGGGATGTTCTCAGGTTCATGTGCAAGAAAGACGTTGTGTGGAGCCCAGATTATCCTTCAATGAGACTTAAATTGCACTACTCAAGACATAATGATACAACCCTGAACAATAATTCTTAGGCAAGCTAAAGTTTAACAACCACTGAAGACTCTGGAAGAACAAATATATACTACATCTTTCAGAGCTCTCGAGCTGCTTTGCTGTTATAACAGGATTTTGAATTCAAAAGATCTGGGGTGGGGCCTGAGAAGTTTAAGATGCTGCTGCTGCTACCACAATTGGAGACCCACGGTTTAAGACAACCATCAAACTCCCCCCGGGTGCCTGGGTGGGGAGGGATTCTAAAGCCTTTCTATTTGGCTGCAAGATTTCCTTTCTTCTCTTTTAATATCGACTTTCTGAACACTTAACACACGTTTGTGGCTGTCAACACATGCGAAAGCCTGTGTAGCACTGGGCCTGGTATTTAATAAGTGCTCAGTAAATGTCTACTGGATTTGAGTATAGAGCTTGCTTGATCAGACCAGTGTGGAATTTCCAGTTTCATGAATATCCTTTTTTAAAAAATCCTCACCCAAGGATCTTTTTCTATTTATCTTCAGACAGAGTGGGAGGGACAGAGAGGAAGAGAGAGAGAGAAACATCAACATGAGAGAGACATGAGAGGGACACATTGACTGGTTGCCTCCCCAATGACCCAGATCAGGGCTGGAGAGGAACCGAAACTGAGGTACATGCCCTTGGCCAGAATCGAGCCTGTGACTCATTGGTCCCAGGTCAAAGCTCTACCACTGAGCCAAACCGGACAGGGTATGAATATCCTTTTTTTAAATTGATGTTTAGAGAGAGAGGAAGGGGGGGCATCGATTATTGTCCTTGTATGTGTGTGCCCTGACTGCAGATCAAACCTGCAACCTTGATGTATCAGGACAACGCTCTAACCAACTGAGCTACTTGGCCAGGGCATGAATATCTATCTTCAGAGATTATACCATTCATTCAGCATTGAGCAAATGTTTCCTTGTACCTACTTTGTACCACGCCCTGTGCTAGGTAGGAACTGGGAATATAGAGGTGATCTAGATGTGGTCCCAGCATGAACATAAAAATACAATATGATCTGTTAAATTCTAAGTGGAGTTAAGAAGCACAGGGAGCTCTGTTGGGGAGGGCTCGGGGCTGGCTTCACAAAGGAGGAAAGGTTATGGAGCCGTGACTACTGCAGGCCATTCAGCTCAATCCAGAACTCTGACAGGCAAAGAGGCCTGGCGCCTTCCCAACACGAGCATGCAGGGAGCTGCAGGCGGATCCTGAACCCCCTCAGGCTATCCCTGGCTCATTGGGCCCTTGCTCACCTGCAGCAGGGTCAACTGGTGGGCACTGGCCTATCACTCCTGCTCCCTGGTGCTCTGCCTGGGGACCAGGTAGCCATCAGTTTAGCTGTGATCAGAGTCTGAATTATCGAAGAAGCCACAGACAATTGAGCTGCTCTGGACTTCTGCTGGCTTCCAGCCCATATTAAAGACTCTTGCCTGCTAGTCTCTCTTCATTTGGGGGACCCTCCTTCCCTATCCCTACCCCACGGTTTTCTCTATACCAGCCAAGCTCTTATTATTTTTTTGCATGTGGTTGGAACTATTTGAATTATCATTGGATTTTATTTCAAAGGGCAGATGCCAGACCCCTAAATACCTACAGGTGGTCAGTGGAGGCTTTAGGGGCTGGGATGGGGGTGCTCTATGAATGGAAATGCAGGTACAGCCCAAGAAGGGTTAAGAGCTTGGTCTCCAAATAGCAGCCACACCACTGGAATTGAAATTCTGACTCAGCCCCAGCTCATCCCTCTGACTTGGGGCAAGTTACTTAACTCTCTGGGAGTCCAGTTTCCAGTCTGTATAATGGGTATTGTAATAATAGGCCTTCTGTATAAGATTGTTGTGAGGCTAAAATAATGTATATTTAAAAAGCACGTAGTACCATGCATGGCCTATAGTAAGCACTCAGGAGAAGTCAGTATCAATATTATTATTACTAATTATTACTAAGCAGCATCCTGTGGACTGTGGGTTCTCACCAGAAGAATGAAGGTGCTGGAAGCAGTTTAAGTTTGTTTATCATCTAACTGACACCCTCTCCTCAGCTCCTGCGCCGCCCTAGGCAGATTCTCCCCTCTGTGAGGCTGCCTTGGGGATGAGTGGGAAGGGAGGGCTATACTTGGATAGGTCATCTCCATCCTTCCATGGAGATGGGGGTGCTCTGGGCTTGCCTGTGGATTTCCTGTGAATCCCGAGTCATATGGGCTCCTTGGGAACACCACGGGGCAGGGGAAGCCTGTCAGTGTTCACACTCAGGCTGAGGTTCTCCTCCAGATAACCCCGTGCAGTACGTCTCGGGCCCACTCTTTACTGCATTCCATTTCATTGAGTCCTCTGAGGCTGGTATCACTCCCATTTTGCAGGTAGAAAAGGAAGGTTCAGAGCTTTTCCCAAAGTCTGTAAGTAAATGTCAAATATCAGCTGAGTTTAGATCCAGAGCGTGAGCTCATTACCACTGCCCTCCTCTGTCCTGCACCCGGGCCAGGCCAGCTTCATGCACGTGGGACCTTCCATGCTTAGAAGGGCCCCAAGCTCAGTTTAATGCTCTGCTATCACCGTCACCATCTTCAAATTATTAATAATTTGAACAAAGTTGCCCCGCATTTTCATTTCGCACTGGGCCCTGCAAATTATATTGCTGGTCCTGTCTGCCCTCTTTTGTAGAGAGGGTGTCTTCTGCAAAGGAAAGCAAACTGAGGTGCAGAGAGGACATGACTGGCACAAGGTCACATAGCTAGTAGGTGGCAGAACTAGAACAGGTCTCCCTCCTGATCACCGATCCAGTAGAATCCACTGGAAGAACTGTGTCCAACTGTGCCCTAGAAGGGGAAAGTTCTGGGAGGGGCCACTGGTTGGGGGAGGGATGGGGGTTAAAAAGTACTTAAAAGACCTGATTCCCTGCCTCCCCCTCTGAGACCCATCAAGACTTACATCTTATTATCTGGATGGGTGGACACGAAAGCTCAGAATCTAGGGCCTATGCTCTGTATAAAATTCTGTTTGAGCCAGGCATGTCCGTGTGCCTGTGTGTATGACTGTGTGTGTGTGTGTGTGTGTGTGTGTGTGTGTGTGTGGTGGGGATGGTGGGAAACAGACTGAGTATGGAGGAGAAAACATCCAGTTTTAACTGCTTTCATTCACTTTTTAATTCCACAGATACAGCAGATATGGGGACACAGATCCAGAAATACAAACGTCCTTAGGAGGCTTACAGTCTATTACACAAGACAAATAATAAAACAAATAATCACACAAATAAATACCTGTATTTGTTTCCTGGTGCCTAGTTCTTTTCCTCCATGGAGTAATTCACAGTTTGAAATAATGGGGTTAATGGTGTGCCCTTTGGCAAGATGGATGGGAACCCCATACCCCTCCCAGGGGACACCACAGCAGGCCTTGGCATTTTGGAGGCATTCGGATTGTGTCTGGGAATGAGACTGATCTTGGGGCTCCAAATAACTTACCTGGGGATGCCTGGAATTCCACAGGGGGTCTTTCTTTAGGATTCAGCTTTATTCTTTCTCTGAGAGCCTGTTTAAAATTAAAATCCCTGGGGAATGAGGGTGGCAGGTGGGTTCACTGAGTTCATAACATGCCAGCGCTATGTCATGAGACAGGGCTGCCCAAGGGCCCTGGGCCCCAAAAGATGCCCCTGATGGGTACCACAAGGGGACCCAGAAGGCCACAGACAATCTTCTCCATCACCCTCTGCTGCTGACTCAGTCCAGCTCTGCCTGCAGAAAGGAGAGCCAAAGGGAGGTAGGGGAGAGTAAGGCCTAATCAAAGCCCAAACCCCGAAGCTCACAGCCTCACTCTGCCAGCTGAAGGAGCCGGGGACTCCAGGTGCGTCTTCCCTGCAGGGCCCTCCTGTGTCAGCTCTACCCCCTCCTAACTGCCCCTGCTGTAGCAGTCATGTTTTCCTCAGTGACAGCTCTGTGGTTGCCCACAGGACTTGACAAGAACTTTGAAGGTTCTTGAAACATATTCAGCTATCATTGCGGGCCTATCAGTTCTCCTGCCTAGAGGCCAAATTTGACACTCTGCTGGGGATGGTGGAGGAAGAATGTGGAACCCAGCACCCCAGAGAGGCCCTGGAGTGAGGCAGGACAAGTTCTCCCTGGCCGAGGGAGCACTGTCCTGGGCGTGGCCTGGCTGCCCGGCTGGTCCCCTCATACAAGAATCTGCATGCTTCTTCCTTTCCTTGCTTCCTTCCTCTTGGTCCCTCCCTCACCAAACTACCTGGAGGCAGGTAATAAAGCAGGGGGAGGGAGATGGATGGATGGGGAGGGCGGAGAGCCACGTGGTGCCATAAAGCCCAGCTAAAGAGGGCCCGTCCTGGGAGTGTCCAGTCTTCCATTCTGCAGGAGCCAAGGCTCGGAAGGGGGACTGTCAGCTTTGCGAGCCGGAGCCAAAGCAGCAAGGCCAGGAGAAGGCCATGCACCGAGGCGTGCCAGGACCAGGCCTCAGGGGCCTGAAGGGGGCCGAGGGCTCTGCCAAGGACTTGGGGGGCTCTAGCCTGGAGGCTGGAAGGGATTTTGGGGTGTTGAGGGAGAACGGCGCCCCCCGCGGCCTGGGCGAGACAGAGGAGGTGCCGAGCAGTAGAAAGCGCGCGCGGCCGGTGCGGTCCAAGGCGCGGCGCGTGGCGGCCAACGTGCGGGAGCGCAAGCGCATCCTGGACTACAACGAGGCTTTCAACGCGCTGCGCCGGGCGCTGCGGCACGACCTGGGTGGCAAGAGGCTCTCCAAGATCGCCACGCTGCGCAGGGCCATCCACCGCATCACAGCGCTCTCCCTGGTCCTACGCGCCAGTCCCCCGCCCCGCTGGCCTTGCGGGCACCTGGAGTGCCACGGCCAGGGTGAGCGCGCCGGAGACGCCGGGGATGCGGGCTCCAGTCCGCCCCGGCCGGTGCAGCCGCCCGCCGGGCTCTTCCTACCGCGCTGTGCCTCCTGCTCCCCGCACACGCCCCTGGGACGGCCAGTGACCGAGGCGCAGGGTTTGGTCCAGGCCTCCCCTGGAAGCTGGCGCCGGTGGCCCGGGGGGCCCTTTGCTTGGCCACTGGGCCAACCGCGGGTGGGCTCCGGGCTGGGCTACCAGCACCCCTGACCTGTGTACTGAGCGCAGGGGCTGGTGGAAGGAGGAGCCAATGGCAGGATGACTACAAAAGAGAAGACTGAAAACAAACAAACAAACAAACAAACAACCCCAAGCAGACTGAGCAAAACTGAACGGGATGAGGCCCTGAAGGGGAGAGGAGGCGGCCTTGCCAGTGGGAAGGACTCTGGAGCCTGGAGCTGCACACCCCACCATCCACATCCCAACCTGGGTGGCGACTCCGAGAAAGGAGCAGGAACCTGCTGGCTCTTTCTTACACTTGGACTTGATGAACTCTTCCTGGAAAGTGACTTTTGTATTCCCGGGCCTCTGACTCCTACGGTCTCGCTGCTTTTTAGGAGAATGGGTGCTTTTGGACAAGGGGACTTGTATGTGGGAGTGTGGGTGGCACCTGGTGTGGTCTGATGGCACAGCATGGGGTCCCCTGCCCCTGCCTGTGCTGATGCCCCAAGTCTGTGATCTGGGAGAGGGGAACAGAAGCAGCCAAATAAAAAGGAAGCTGTCATCTCTGTCTGCTACCAGTGCTCCACTGGGCCCAGTGGCCCGGGTGGCAGGAAGGCCTGAGGGACTTGAGGACTGGGGGCTCCTCCTGAAATGTTGGGCCCCAGCCTGAAGGCCCAGGTAGGTTCTTGGGGGCAATGAGTCATGGCAAGACCCTAGGTGTGGCTAAGCACTGTGAGGGGCACTGTGGGAAAGGGCGTTATTGGGAGAGGGGGAGCAAGGCCTGGGAGGCAAAGGATGTGGTCAGCCCCATCTCTGGGCCCCTGCACATCTGCCATCTGCAGCCAGCCACGGGGAGGACAGCAATGGAAACAGAGTCTGGGCCAGTCTCCAAGAAGGAACCTGAAGGTACGGACAAGGGTTGGGGGGCAGTGAGTCCTGCCTGTACCCCGAGTGATGAGATGGTGCGCCCAATGAACCAGTGTAGCCAGGGCCACCGTGATGAGGGGTGGCCTTAGAATCCAGGAAAGATTTGGGGGAGGAGGTTGAGGGAAGTGGGGCCTCAGGCCAAGGCTGCTGAAGAAGTGGGAGGCACAGCCAACCCCTGTTCCCCCAGAGATGTCTGGAGAGCCGCTGTCATCTAAGATGAACACTCTGTGCTGGTGTCTGCCTCGCTCAGGCTGGCCTGGTTGGTGGTGCAGGTGCTGCTTGCTGGGTAAGGACCAGATCTGCCAGGAGGGCTGAGAGCTTCCTGGTCTCCTTGGAGAGCTGGACTCTTGCCAGCTGAGGGAAAGAGTTACACAGCCCAGAATGGGGCGGGGTGGGGGTGGGGGGACAGAAGCTGGAGAGATGCCCTTAGTCCTGGAAGAGTAAGGGTTTCCCAGAACAGCTGAGGTGAGGCTCACTGCCATATTCAAGATGTCTGCTTTCTGACGGGTACATCAGGCATCCTGTCCCCAGCTCACTGACTCCCCATTTCACAGGGCAGACGGCTGTGGCACAGATCACAGAAAGGCTTTAACTCTGGGTCATAAGGGTCACGGGGTCCAGCGAGGAGCAAAATGTGGGACTCTGGCCCCAGGCCTGCCCACGGAGCCTCCCCTGCCCTAGAGAGGCCGTGCCACCGTCTGAGAGTGCACAGAAAAGACAGACGAACCCGGGGTCCCATCTCTGCTCTTCCATTTATGACATGTGTGACCCATGGCCTCACTTAACCTCTCTCCACCTCTAGTTGCTCATTTGTGTCCCCAGTGACTCTACCTCAGGGTAGCTGTGAGGATTAACATTCCTTCAAAATGTAGTTTCTGGCAATTAGAAGGTGTTCCATAATTGTTACTGTTTGTATGTTATTATATTCTTAAGACAGACCAGCCTGGACAATGCTTCCATCTTGCTTCAGCCTGAGCTTTTTTTTTTTTTTTTTTATCCTCACCCGAGGACATTTTTCCATTTTTTGTACAGAGTGGGAGGGAGAGAGAGGAAGAGAGAGAGGGAAACATCGATGTGAAAGGGACACATTGAGTGGCTGCCACCTGCACGACCAACCAGGGCCGGGGACAAACTGCAACCAAGGTACAAGCCCTTAGCGGGAACCGAACCTGGTTCTCTCCGGACCGCAGGCGGACGCTCTAACCGCTGAGCCAAACCGGCCAGGGCTCAGCCTGAGCTTTTTATCCTCTGCTAACATGATCATAAGACTAGCAAGTCCTGCTTTCCTAAATTCCAGGATAGAAAGAGCTGAGGGTTCTCTTGCCCAGTTGTACCTTCAGCACCCGGGTGGCGAGGGTGCCCCCTGCAGGCGGAAGAGTGAGTGTGCAACACAAGTGTGAGGTCAGCCCAGGCTATGTACCAGTTGACTTTTGACCAATGTGGGAAGGTTAGGGGCACAGACCAGATGCACAATCAGAAATCTGCCTGTAATGTAAATCAGTCCTCCACATATATGGATTCCCAACCGCGGATTGAAAATACAGTTGACCCTTGAACACCACAGGTTTGAACTGTGCAGGTCCTCGTCAATGCAAGATTTAAAGATCAGCGTATAAGAGAACAGGAGCAGTTCAAACTCAGTTTTTCAGGAGTATTTCTCAGCCTCCTCACTTACCAGCTGAGTAATCTTGGCAAATCGCCTCATGACATTGAGCCTTGGTGTTTCCATCTGTATAATGGATGTACATAATAAGTACTTACATCATAGGCTGCTGTGCAGACTAAATGGGATAATGCATTTAAAGCACTTAGCATAGTGCCTGGCCCAGACAAGCTCTCACTGACTGGAAGCTATTAAGACATATTCTATTCACAAGGTTGTTATAAGGAGAGCATTGCATAGGAAAGTGTTTTATACACTAAAGTCCACAACATATTAGTTACTATCACTGTTTTAGCAGGGCTCTGTGTTTGATGCACACACCTGTATATTTCCCTGCGGATATGCATTTATCTAGCATTCTGAGGTTTTTTTTTTTTTTTTTTTAACATGCACACATCATGTTCATGCTTATATAGATGTGTGATGTGTGAGTACTTGTGTGTGCCTACGTGTATGTATTGACCAAACGGGCACCCATTTCTTCCCCTGATGAACTAGGGATCCAAGGCCAGAATACCTTTAATTGTGTGTCTTCCAGGCTTTTTGGAACCCTTGCTTGATTTTTGTATCTGCCCCCAAGACCATATCCATTCTCCAAGATAACTGATTCACTGTGAAGAGGAGATAAATGTGTGACTGTTAAAGAAACGGAAATTATCAACCGAGCCCAGATAGGTTTCCCCAAATACAGAGAAAAACAGGACGAGGATTGGTATTCAATGAACATAAAACGAAAAGTACTGGAAAGAGAAAACATATATAAGACAGAGCTGCTAAAATTATGGCCAAAAAATATGAAGGACTGATGTACATAAAGAGAATTGATGTATCTATAAAGTTAGCACCAGTGGCCCGCTCAAATAGTGTTCCACGGGGAGAGAGAGTTAACTTTGAAAGGGTAGAGGGTAATAAAATTACAGCCCTCCCAGCAACTTTACAGCCCACAAAGGGCTCCGTGCACTCAGTCTCCTGGCTTTTCCTGAAGCCTGTGCCTTCCAAGCCCTCCCCTTACACACGCTGCCTCCGCCACAGGGAAGCGCACCTCACCTCTCCAGCAGTGAGTGAGATATACCAGCAAAAATAAATGACAATGAGAACCAGTGTTGTCAGGGATGTGGGGGGAAAGGCACATTTACAGATTTCTAGGTGTACCGTGCATCTGTTCCTGTTTGGGTAAAGGTCCATTTGGCAAAATCAAAATACTCCAAGGGAATAATCCAAAAGGAAAACAAATTGGCAAAAAGGCAGTCCCGGAGGCGCTGCAGGAACAGCGAAAGCTTTGAAACAGCAGCCGTGCCCAGCCAGAGAGGCGTGGAGAAGCTCACCCTGGTATTCGACCAGAATGAAGATTGAGGTGAGTTAGGAAAGGTCATAAAAGGGTCTGTGGCCACTGACTGCAATCGGAGACAAACATGTCGGCACATGAACAGACCTGGAGAGAGTTTGGAGGGATGTAATCAGGGTTCATATCCATTAGGTAGTTTGTCGTTGTTTTTAAAAGGTGAAAGGTTTGTCTTCTTAGGGAACCTTCCAAAGAGGAGTAGGAAAGAGATTTGAGCAAAGACAGTAAGGACGAATTATTTTAAGTGGATTCCTTTGGAGGGACCCTACCTTATAGGTGTGAAACTGGGGTGCTTGTGTTGGGAGTACAATCACATGGAGTTTTCCTCACATTTGGCACGTGTACACGCACGTGTGTGTGTGTGTGTGTGTGTGTGTGTGTGTATGTGTATAGATACTAGATGCTGCCGTTACCTCTGGAGCAGAGCAAGCTGGGCCCGGGAAATCCTCCGTGAGAGGAGTTGGCTTAACCATCCTCACCCTGTCAGCCCCGTGGGGTTTCCGGACACCCGCTGAGCCAGTAGGGAACAGACGTGAGGGGCTGTATTATGTCTTCCCCTTGGGTTAGGCTCCAATTTACCTACCTTTCTGAGATGTGCCTTCCTGTCCACCCCGCCGTCCAAAGGACACCCTCCAGTATGCAGGTCCCCTTTCCCTCCATTGTTTACATCCTTCGAGCTCAGGGGAGCTCAGGTTGGGGGTGGCAGAGGTGGAACGAGTGTTGGTGTGGACACACTTTGGGTACTTGGAGTTTTCACCTTCCTCCAGTTCACCCGGCTGCCCTGAACTATGAGCTTGGCACTGGGTTAGGGCGCTGGGGGCACGCCTGCCCTCCATGACCTCATAGCCCAGTGGCGAAGGGGGACAGAGAAGGGAATGATTTTCTTCAGTTCCCTGTGCCCACTCCAGGGAGCAGCCAGCTTTAGACCAGAAGGAGGGACATCCATCTGTGCGGCTGGGCTGGGCCTACAGCTCAGACCCCCGAGGCAGGCTGGCAGGTGAGGGTGGAGTTGGAGGAGCTCAGTGTGCTCCCTTCTAAAGGCTACAGCTGACCCTGCGACTCTGCAGAAAATGGGCCCAGGGTTCCCAGATCCTCATGTTAAAAGTCTAAACTGCCGCCCCGGCCAGTTTGGCTCAGCAGTTGGAGCTCGGCCTGAGGACAGAAGGGTTGTGGGTTCGATTCCTGGTCAAGGACATGTACCTGAGTTGCAGGTTCGATCCCTGGCTCCCTTCGGGGTCATGCGGGAGGCAACCATTTGATGTGTCCTCTCACATCAATGTTTCACTCTCTTCCTCCCTCCCTCCTTCCACTCTATCTAAAAATCAATGGAGAGATATCTTCAGGTGAGGATTAACAACAACAAAAAGTCTAAAACACCTATTTTGTGTGTGAAATACATTTTTTAAAAAAACGTTTGTTGAGTCAATATTGTGCAGGCCAAGCTCACTTTGTATGATGAATATGGCCCGTGGGCCTCCACATAAGACTTCATTTGGAGTTTGAGGGGGTGGGGAGGCTGGAGCAGCTCACTGGGTTGGGTTCAGCAGCTCTGGAACCCAGATGGGATACTCCCTCTCTCTGTTTCTCCCCACCTCTCCTTCTCCCTCTTGTCTCCACTGCACCTCTGGCCACTCCCCTCAGCATCACCAGGCCCCTAGATGGCACCATGAGCCCAGAATCTCACAGAGGCAGAGCAAACCCAAGTCCCCAAGTCCCGAAGGCCAGTCCCCACAGCAACGTAATAGCCACAGGCCAACCTGGGGACTTCTTGGCTTTTTCGTTTCTCTTTGAGTTTTTGTTAAGTCAAAAGGTCCCACCCTGGCTAGTGTGGCTCCGGTGGGTGAGGGTGGTCCCATGCACAGAAAGGTTGCAGGTTGGATTTCTAGTGGGGGCGGGTTGGGGCGTGGCTGCCAATTGATGTTTCGCTCTCACATAGATGTTTCTCTCTCTCTCTCCCTCTCCCTTCTTCTCCTATAAAAATAAAGAAAGAAGTCCTCTTTGTGTCAGATTTGTTCTGTCCTCGAGGCCAGCATCGCCCGATAGAAATATAGTGCAAGCCATGTTTTTACTTGTTTTTACATGTTTTACTAGTAGACACATTAAAAAAAAGTAAAAAGAGCCCTGGCCAGTTTGGCTCAGTGGTTAGAGCGTCAGCCTGTGGTCCAGAGAGACCCAGGTTCGGTTCCTGCTAAGGGCACATACCTTGGTTGCAGTTTGTCCTCAGCCCTGGTTGGGGTTGTGTGGGTGGCGGCCAGTCTATGTGTCTTTCTCACATTGTTGTTTCTCTCTCTCTCTCCCTCCCTCCCATTCTATCTGAACAAAAAATGGAAAAAATGTCCTCGGGTGAGGATTAAATAAATAAATAAAGTAAAAAGGTACAGGTGACATTATTTTAATAATGTTCTATTTAGCTCCATATATCCCAAATATTATCATTTCAATATGTAATCAATGTACAAAGTATCAACGAAATATTTTACATTCTTTTTGTGTACGAAGTGTTTGAAATGTTGTGCGTTATACTCACAGCACATGTCGTTTGGGACCAGGCACATGTCAAGCCCTCAGCAGTCACTTGGCTAAAGGATACAGAACTGGGCTGGAGGGCCCGGGTTCCGCCACCCAGTGGTCATCTCCAGGCTGTAACATGGGATTCTGTCCAGGGAATCTCTAACCTCCCAACCCCTCATCATGCATGACCCTAGGGTTTGAAACTCTGCTACACCCTCCTCCAAACCACACACACACAGATATACACCCTGGTGTTTCCAGGTTATTCTTATAATATACTGACTTAGAGTCCAAGGGGTCTCAGGGACCCAACTTGCTAACCTCTGAAGGAAGTCTCATATTTAAAAAGGTGTCAGCACATTTCTGGAAGTTACTGGGCAGGGGAGTCCAGCTCACCTCCCAACTCCCTGCCCCAGTCTGGGGTGGGTGAGAGCCTTCCTGAGGACCTAGGTGAGGAAGAAGCCCCCCACCCCCAGCCCACTGACTGCCTCCAGCTCACTGCCCGGAGGCCTGCATTTTGCAAATAACAGTGGATTTTCTTTATTGAGCAACAATTCTTAATTGAATGTAGTTATATTTATCAAACCTGCACATTTGTCCCAAAGCCACAAACTATTTTTGAAACTGGCCCGCAGGAGTCCCTCTGGCTCCCCTGGCACGAGGCTGGTTGCGGCTCCCCTCTGCCCCCTCTGCGGCCAGTTCTTCACGGTCTCTGGCCCGGCTTCCACCTGCGCCACCTTGCTGGAAGCAGCACGTCCGGACCCAGCTGGACACACAACCCAAAGTCAGTTGTTTCTGCTGAAATGGTTCATTTTGCTTCAAACTAGCTCCCGAACTGGATCTGGCCAGAGACTGGTATCCGGTTGGGATACAGTTTCAGGTGAACATCGCTTTCCATTTCCAGGCCTTGGTTTTCTACTCTGTGATCGCAAAGGATTTGAACTGCGTCACCTCTGGGGCACCTTCCATCTCTAACCTCCCAACCCCCCACTGTGCATGACCCTAGGGTTTGAAACTCTGCGACACCCTCCTCCAAACCACACACACACACACACACACACACACACACACACACACAGATATGCACCCTGGTGTTTCCAGGTCACCCCTATAAAGGTAAGGAGAGAGACTGGGAACATAGAAAGAGATGCCGAGAACAGAGAAGGAGACAGAAACAAGGAGGAGACATAAAAGGAACAAAGCTAAAATCAGAGCAGACAGGCAGCCAGAACTGAGGCCTGTCACAGTCAGCGTGGAACCCAGGAGCCCCTAACAGGAGGACCTCGGCTTGCTCTTCACCCACAGAAAAGCTCTGACAGGCGTGAGATGGGGCTAACCCTTCCCCCTAGCCCCCTCTGCCCCACACCTTGGTGAGCTGCTCAGAAACCCAGTCAGAGGGCCCTGTTTGTCCAGGAAGATCTGGCAGGGGCCACACTGATGCTCCATCTCCCCTTCTCTCCCGGAGTCAGGAGCCAGGCTCTGGCCTCGATGCCTCCAGGAGTTGGAGGTCATGGTTGGGGTGGGATGCGATAGGCTCAGAGCCCAGTGTTTCCCAACTGATAGGAGGCAGCCGCAGCCTGCTCCGGTAGAAGACAAGCGGAGGGCTCAGTTTCCCAGGACAGTTGAAGACACAGCCCCTCATGACCCACTTTGTCTTTTTCCCCATCCAGAGCCCCCAGCCCAGAGCAGCAGGTCCTGGGGCTGCACTGGGAAGCGGAGGCCAGCCCGAGTCGCGCGGGGCTGGGATAGGCTGGGCAGAATGGGGCTGGGCTGGCTGCGCTGGACTGGGCAGAATGCTGCCGGGTGGTTCTCTGGGGAGAAGGGAATTGGAAAGGAAACGCTTCTCTGAGGAGGGCAGGGAGGGAGGGAAGCCGGGTGGCCCTGGAGAGCACGCGCGAACACACACACACACACACACACACACACACACACACACACACACAGCTGCCCTGACTTAGCTGGAGCCTCACTCTGGAAAGGAGCCTCTCTGCTCCTGGAGCTGCCTTCTGTTGCTTCCACGCCCATCTGTGCTGTCAGCAGCACCAGCAAAGTTGGCCTCCAACTTGAATGGAGCTCAGATCTCCAGCTCCCAGGAGCTCCGCTGGGCAGCAGGCAGGATCCAGACGCTGAACTCTGTTGGCCTGGAAAAGCCGCCCTCCCAACACCTGCTCCCTGGTGACAGCTCTGCCCCCGACCTGTAGGCCCCGGTCTGAGCTGAGGAATGGTGCGCTGAGGTCCCTCCGGAAGCCCCTTCTCACAGTCTGGAATTGAAGCAGCTCAAGATCCAAGCGAACATGGCCAACCCGGTGCATCCTCAGTTTCCCCTGGCGCGGGAGCCAGACGCTGCCTTACCCCCGGACCTGCCGGAGAAGGAGACGCTTCTCACCAAGGTGGAGGACAAGGATGACAAGCCCCTGAAGCTGTCCAAGTCCCTTTCAGGGGCTCTGGACCTGGAGCAGAATGGCCACGGCCTGCCCTTCAAGGTGGGATCTGAGAAGCACCGGGAGGTTTCACTCCCCCGGTCGCCCTCGTACGTCAGCTCAAGGCGGCCGTCCTCCACTGCCACCACCTCCTATGCCCAGGACCGAGAAGTCCCCAAAGATTACCTTATCCTTGCCATCGCCACCTGCTTCTGCCCCGTCTGGCCCCTCAACCTCATCCCCCTCATCTTTTCTATCATGGTAAGAAGAGCTGCTCTTGGGTCCAGGGCAGGGGCTGGGCCCAGGGGACAGCAGACATGTCCCTGGCGTGGGTGTAAAGAGAGCTGGGTGCTAGGGACCTGGGGAGAGAACTCCTTTCTCAGCTGGCCTGCTACTTCCCTTGGAGAAGGGGCCAGGGGCCAGGGGAGCTCTTGTTTGCTGTCTTCTTCCATCTCTGCTCCTGGGCTGCACAGCTTCACTTTGCTCAAAACCTGCTGGGGAGGGACCCAGGGAGCCCCCGGAGCTACGCTCTGCACACGGGACAGAAAGACAGCCGGGTCGGGGTCTGGTCTGCGGTGGGGCGGGGGCGGGCTGTCCTGAGCAGTCATTCCTGAGCAGTCATTCCTGAGCAGGGCTGTATTAGCAGCAGAGGTTGCAGCAGGCATGGAGTCCCGGGGCCCATGTTCCCAGGAGAGGAGCCAGCCCCCCACAGTCTCCCCCCCCACCTCTCCCCGGCCCCTGGGCGTTCTTAGAAGCGTTGCCAGCTCTGGTTTCCCCGCCATGCCCTGAGGGGATAGCTGCTCTGGGGGTAGTTCTTGCTGGGCCCTCTGGGCTTGGTGGTTACACTGATTTCACCATCTGTCCTCAGGGTGGGGAGGTTGGGGCCACGGGTGAAAGTGTCAGAGGGCATGGCTAGACTTGCCAAGGAGGGCGTGTGGGCTTCTCTGCCTCTCACGCACTTGTGCTGTAGGGTTCTGAGTAAATTCTTAGATTGTCCCCAAACCAGGCCATTTGGATAGAGCTACTTACAGAGGACCCCAGACACTGTCAGCAGATGGGACTTTGAGGTGTCGGAAGGAGAGAGACAGACAGACCGGGCAGGCAGTGACTTCCAGACAGAAGTTAGGAGAAGGGCCGTCAACCACTAGCCCCAGGCAGGTGGAGGCCAGAGGACCGGGAGGGCAGAGACTGTCTGCTTCCCTCGGGAGAGACTCTGCTGCTGAGTCACCTGTCACCAAGCCCCTCGGAGCTGTGGTCACTGCTGCTCCCGGCCACCCTCTGAGAAGCCCCTACTCCTCACACTCCCTGTCTACGTCCGCCCAGCCTTCCCCAGCCCCCAGCAGCCCTGCCCTCCTTCCAGGATGTCAGAGGACACTGGCAATGTTCCTAAGTCAGAGGGACTTGGCATGGGCCCAGGAGCCGGGGCTGGGCCGGACCCAGGGTGGGGCCTTGGAGGAGCGTCCTGTGTGCCTGCTGCACTTTGGGACAGCGGGGCAGGGCCAGGCCCCAGGGGTGCAGCTGGTGGCTCTGGGCAGGGCCAACCTCTTGGTTACAGGGAGAAGCCCCAGGAGGGGAGGCAGGTGTGGGGGAGGAAAACCACGCAAGGGCCCAGGAGAAAACAGTTGCTAGAATCCTGGTGGGCGTGGCAGGGTCCAGACTGGGTAGAGCTGCCTTTGTTGTAGGAAACCTGGGCCCAAGACTGGGAAACCAGTGAGCCCACACTTGGTACATTTCTATATCTTTCTCGGCCTCTTGAGTCAGGTCTGGTGGGCGCTGGGCCAGGGGCAGGGAACGGGGTGATAAGCAGACATCATCGCCAATTCCCGGGAGCCTCCAGTCCGGTGCGGAGAAACCTGTAAACAGATCCTTACAGCACATCGCAAGAGGTAGTCATGCTAGAGAAAACCACAAGGTGTTGTGTGGCCTCGGGCAAATCACTCAAACCTCTCCTTCTCAGTACTCCTACCTGCAAAATGGGTTGCCACCGTAACTCCTGCATTATAGAGCTGTGCGAGATGAAATGAGACAAGCCATACCAAGTGCGTAAGAACAACACACAGCTAAGTGCTATTACACAATAACAGTAATTCTGTGGCAGCTGAGTATCTCCCTGGTGAGCGATGGAAACCATCACAGGCTTGCTGTGGTTTTTTGTTTGTTTGTTTGTTTTTTTAGAGCTTTGAAATATAATCTGCATATTATACAATTCACCTATCTAAAGTGCATAATTCAATGCCTTTTTAGTATATTCATAGTTAGGTGCACCCATGACCACTCTCAGTTTTAGAACATTTTCCCATCTCCAAAGGAAACACTGTAGCTTTTTTCTATCACCCTCCACCTTTCCCTAAATCCCTCCTAAGCCTTAAGCGACCACTCATCTTTCTGTCTCTATGGATTTGCCTCTTCTGGACAATTTACATACACAGATTCGTGCAACGTGTGGTCCTTCAGGGCTGGTTTCTCTCCGTTGGCTCCGAGTTTTCAGGCTGGAGCATATACATCGTCGGGTTCGGAGCCAGAGAGGGGTGTGGTCAGATTTCCATTTTGGTGGATCAGTCTGTGTAGGGTGAAAAGGGGACCAAAGGGGCCCCTCTGAGCCTGGACTTGGGAGAAGGCACCTTTGCAGGAGTGCAGGTGACAGATGAACAGACTGGACCGTGGCAAGGGGCAAGGAAACCCTCCAAAAGTGGTAACTCGGGCCATTCACTAGAGTGGCAAGTTGCTTGTTTGGAGGGATCTAAGTGGTAGAAGACGATGTGTCTTTTTGTGAACCAGGCCCCGTGTTAGGCATTGGGAAGGAGCTGGATAAGACCTGGTCTGTTCGGCATGAGGAAGATGACGGAGTGTGGTGGTCACGGGAGGCGGGCAAGGACCCGTCTGGGAATTCCAGTTGTATCCCAGTGGCTCTGAGGAGCCTCTCAAATTTTGAGTAGAGGCGTGATGTGGTCAGTTCATATTTTAAAACCAGTGCCCAACTGCACTGTGGGAAATGAACAGAGCAGGCAGGAGGGGCATCGGGGAGGCGGTCCAGGCGGGATGTGAAGGCCTGAGCTGAGCACTGGGCCTGGGAAGGGGCCGCTGAGGGGACTGCTGAGGGGCCGGAGCGGTGTTTGCTTTAGGCTCTTGGGTACTCAACTCAAACAGACGCGCCGTCTTAGAGAAAGCTCGGAGGCACACGGCGATTACGGGGTGGGCAGGGGGAGTGCACAGAAAAGGGGTTTGAAAAGATCCCAGGAGGTGGAAGCAACACTGCCAAAGACGGGGAGACACCTGGGGGGAGCGAGTTCGAAGACCGAGGGAGTCGCCAAATGCAGCGTCGAGATCAGGTTGAACGAGGCTGGGAGTGTCCACTAGCTTGGCCACTTATAAACCCCGGTGATCCTGGTGATGGAGAAGCTTAGGCAAAAATGAGAAGTGAGCCCAGCTGTTGTGGCTCAGTGGCTGAGCATCGACCCATGCACCAAGAGGTCGCCGGTTCGATTCCCGGTCAGGACACATGCCCAGGTTGTGGGCCAATCCCCAGTGGGGAGCATGCAGGAGGCAGCCAATTGATGTTATCTCTCTCTCTCTCTCTCTAAAAATCAATAAAGAAAAATTCTTTTAAGAAAAAAATAGAGGTGATTGATGAGGTGAGGTCCCTGAGGAGTGGAGGGATAGGATCCAGAAGGAAAACCTCCTTCCTGGGAGCTCAGAGAGGCCATGAGGGCAGAAGCAGAGAGAAGTACTCAAACGGAGTTGGTTTATTCTGCATGGGATCCATGGCCCAGGGTCCTGGAGGGCAAGGCTGTTTGTTGAGAAATAAGAGTCTGACGGCAGAAGGGAGAAGAGGTGACTAGGGACAGACAGGTCAGTGGCCTGCGGGCTCAGCTGAGGCTGGGACCAGGGGTCTGAGTCGTTATCAGCCTGCGCGGTGGTGTGGCTTTTGTCCAGCTGGAGATATAGGGTCACTGGAGTGACAACGAGCCCACACAAACCTGAGGATGGCAGAACTGTCCCGAGGGCGGGACCAGGTGGCACAGAAGATGCTGAGATGACGCGCCCGAGGCTCGGGCTGGCTGGGAGGGGGCGAGGCCAGGGAATTGGCAATGGCCTCGGAAGAGAGGGAGGTTGGTCACAGGTTGAGGCTCAAAGAAGTCAAAGGACAGGTGCTATGAGGGTGTGAGGGTGACAGAGAGGTTGGGGGGGGTGGAGATTTCAGAGGAGGAGCTGAGGTGAGGGTGGAGTGTAGCTGTGGAGATGAATTTCTAAAGGGACCTGTTAGGAGCCAGAGAGAAGGGACCCGAGGAAACCCAGTGAGGAAGGATAATATCACTACCATCCAGTGCGCTTGCTAAATGTTAGGTACGGGTCCAGAGACTTTATATATGTTATCTCGTTTAACCCGGACTATAATCCTATGAGGTCTAGTTATTGTCATTACTCTCAATTTACAGATAGAAAGCTGAAATACAGATGAGTGCAATAACCTGCTAGTGGTAGGGAGCCCAGGATGGGATGTCCGGAGCCCAGCCCCTGTTCCCACGCATTGCACAGCCTGCCTCCTGCACCAGAGGCCGCCCGCGGGGAGGGGCGGTGGGTTTGCCCACAAGTCTTCCCTCTTCTGGGAGCCCGTCTAGTTCACAGGAAACCCCCATTTCCCAGGGAGGGTGGGGGTCAATTATTCATCTAAGGCTGAGACCCTCGGTCCCACCCAAACAGCAGCAGGGCTGAAGGAGGGCCAGGTGAGTGTGGAAAAGGAGTAGGTCTCCTGGGTTGGTGTCTCCAGGTCCTGGGGACAGACCAGGACTCCTCACCTGCAGTCTTCCCCTGGTTACCATCTGGAGAATCAAGCCCTTGATCCAGGGTGGAGGGAGACCCACGGCCCTGGCAGCCTGTCTAGAGCTTACTGTCAGCAGATGTGTCCTAACATGAGGCTGACAGAGTCTGGCTAATTGTTCCCATTAACAGACGAGGCAACTGAGATGAACAGAACAGCACCTCGTTCCCGGTCACACACCCGGTAAGAGGCACGTCAGCTGGACGCCGAATCCAGTGTTCTCGCCAAGGTCCCACCTGAATCTACCTCTGGGGACGAGGATGGTGTGTCCCTCCTAGGAAAGCCAAACCTTTCAGGCATCTGTGCAGGGAGAGAAGAATTCCACTTCCTTCCCTCTCCCTCCATCCCCCACTGCCCCTCCCCCCACACCATCAGTGGAAGATGAATGGACCAGCAGTGTCCTTCCACTGTGGCTTTGACAGTGGCCTGCTGTGACCAGGGC